CATATGAACATTAACTCAACAATACAAACATAAAAAAACAAATAAAAACAAACACTTCACATTAGAAATAATCTGAAAATATTTATGGTAATTTAAAAAAAACTAAGTTTGTGACTAAAACCAGCTGTTCTTTGCTACAATTTGATTAATTTGACAATACTTGGGGGATTAACAAGCGTTTCGTTTAATTTGTTGCAAAGCAAAAAAGTACAAAACAGCCATTTATGCTCGGAAAGTGATTATAGCAAAAAGTTCCAAAGTATATAAGTGCAGGATWCTGCAGAGAGGGAGGCAGTGTGTATAATGAAAGGAATATTTTTCATTTAAAGTAAGAAAATGTCACCAGTCAGCACCTCACTCATCCCGCCTTTGTTGACAAAGATCTTTATTTGCATCTCCAAACTGCCCTGTACCAGAAAAAGTGATCGAACTACTTAAAAACAAACAGAAAACAAAAAAACAGCACCCGGGAAAGGAAATGTACATGTAGCGTCACCGTTTCCTCCGTTCTGGTGACGAGGTAGCTAACAGCGAGTAAATCAGACCGTTTCATCCTCCTGGTGGTCGGCGCAGCGTTCAGAGCTCGTCCATCGCTTCTTTTCCTCAATAGCACCACAAAGTGTTAAAAACAAAACATTCAAAACCTATTTTCTAAGAGCTGTGGGACAAATCTTTGTTTCGAACAGTTCTGGGCTTAAAAACAGCAGTTTTAAATCAAACGTTTTATATGTTTTAGTAAGAATTAGTGAAGTCATTTGTTTTTTTGGTCATCACAATCAGGGAAGCTTAAAGCTGAACATATTCAAGGGAGTGGTTCTGATTTTCACCACTTGTTTTCTGTAAAACCAAACATTCAAGTTGTAAACCTTTGACGTCTTGGACTTGGGTTGTAAAGGCACAATAAATATTTTGCCACGAGGCAAAGTACTCGTACTCGTATGTACAAGATGGCTGATCGCGTCAGCTGTCAGTTCAAAAGTCTCTCCTCGACGTGTCCGGCTTTACAAGAAGCACACGGGCCCAATGTCGATACCGAACTCCTGATTGGGGCCACCAATGTCCACGGGGGCCATATCCACAATGGGAAGTCTGGCAGTTTTCTGTGTCCTGTACTCAAACACTGTCTTGCCCCAGTTGCCGTTTGCTTGCTGTAAAACAAGAAACAAAAAAGTTCAGTGAACATTTAAATATCCATCACCTCTTCTCCAGAGCCCGGTGGGGATTTTCACTCAACTCTTATTTTGTCAACTAGATAATGCACCAGAACTCAGTGGGGTGGGGGGTCTCATTGGTGGGCCTCATGGATAGCCCTTCATCAGAGCTAAACAACAAAAACAWAAARAATCTGAAGCTCCTAYGTTAAATAGTTTTTGAGGTATAAGCTTTTTTGTTTTTTAGATGGAGCCCCCTCATCAAATATGGGGTCTTTTGTCAAACCGTTGGCTGGTGCAGTGTAGGTCAGTCACATCTACATTCCTGTCAAATTTCATGTTGATTGGTGCAGCCTTTTCCCTTATACAATTGACCAAAAATCACTGAAAATCAATTTGAAAATAAAAAGAAATAAACAGCAGTACGAAAACAATACGATCTCCACTTTGTGTGCGGGGGTCATAATAAATTAAGCTTACAAATGTGCGCAAAACTTTGTTGATATTCTGTTAATGTCGAAAAACACAGTTTCACAACTGCAGTGTTTCCATTAAGTAAGAAATGCTATTAAAGTCA